TTTTTCTTTTTTTGTCTATGTATATCTAGATTGACTAGTTTTTGTAGCCTACTTTCCTGCTTAACAGTAATACTTGATGAAGCTACGTGAAGCTGCACTGTTGATATTAGAGAGGTTGTACATGAATGTTTGTCATTCCAAATGTCCACTAAACTAGATGGCCATAATTTATCATCAAATGGTTTGAATATTTACCTTACCTGTAAATTAGTGCCTGTGTGTTTATTTATTGAATAAACAAAATGTCACCACTTGCATGTCATTCATTGCTGTTTACCCATTCAGATGATCTGTTCTTATTAATAAAATGAATTGGACTATAAGAGCTCAGAGATTAAGTAACAGGGCAGTGGATGTGAATGTTATTGGTTAAATCTCCATTTGTCCCCAAAATTTACCTAAATTACTAAACCAAGAAAAGCTGAAGTGTTTTTTGTTTTGTTTGAGGTCTTAAAGGATATGTGTAATACTGCACCATAAATTCCAAAAATTGTGATTATGGGGGCCGGCTTGTGAACATACATGATAAATATAATTTTAAATGAATAAAAATCCAAACTCGGATGTCTCACCTCCGAGTCCTCAGTTTTGTGGTTTAATTTGATGCAGATACACTTATTGGCCACGAGATGAACACCTATTTTTCACCTAGTCTTAGTGTACAAAATATACAGAGACTTTTGCTTTGAGTTTGCAAATATTAAAGCAGGCGAGATGTTTTGGAATTAAGTTAAAACGTCAACTCCACCAACTTTCAATCTCTCGGCACTAACACGAATCCGTTTGACAGAAACTGGAGTGCAGTTTTCCATCCTCTCCACTAGGCGGCGTAAGTAGAAGCACGCTCGGTCTGACTGACACCTTCGGATGCTTGACAACAACATGACGCCGCTTGATGACAGTCACCACAACACGTGCAGTTTTAAGTACAGATTTGGCAGATAACAGCTCAGTGAGAGACACTTAATGTCTTTAAACAGCACATATTCCAGCTCCACAAACAGAGAGACCCGCTGCGATAAAAAGCGGGAAACGAGTGTCACTAGTAAGTATCCTTCAGCACTAAGTGACATTTTCTTATCAAATGACTTGCACACGCTATAAAAGTCCTTACGTTTTGTAAAAGTCATTGATACATAGTTCTGCTGAAATGTCATAGGGGCTCGTCTGTCAGTTCGTTTAGATACATGTTATTATTATGGATTGTGTTGAACACTACAAAATGAACGCACATGGACTAAAAGCAACTAAATTAATATTGATGAAGGTGTCCTTAAATCTGGTTGTTTCCCAAGGTACTTGTTATTCGACAGCTTATTATGTATGAAGGCAGTCGCATCTCATTGAAGGTTTATCACAGACAGACAGTGTTTACATGCTGAACTCACTGACAGCTTTAGAAAAACAAATGTTGTTACGTTAACTTACATGGATAAGCTGTTAATGGATCGCCATCAGATATTTATAATATAAAGTAATAATTAGTGGGGGGGGGGGTTTGTCATTGCTGTTGTTGTAGTCTTACTGAAGGCAATAATCTACTGGAATTATGTTTGTTAATAGAGTCAGTTGGAGTGTTCACTTAGGTAAAGTTGCAGTGATGTGTAATCTGAATTTGGAAACAAACTTCACTGTAATTCTCTGTATTGTTGCCAAATTCAATTCACACATCACTGCTGTCCTGCTGGTTATATAACAACACTTTGTTTAGATAAATGCATTCTAATTGTATCATTTTTCATAATTACAAATCATAAAAATAATATATAATATAGCCTAACCATCAGGAGGACAGCAGTGATGTGTGATCTGAATTTGGTGACACTATAGTGTGTGTTTTTGACTGTTACTGACAGGACCCTTCGGATCTGTCTCTCAGCCGCCTGCGCATAGAGATCAATGTATTTTGTCCACTGTGAAGGAAAGCTCGTTTTGAGGAAAATTAGTAAACATTATTAAAACAATATTATTTGTGTAGTAACAATATTCAGGTCACGAGATATTGAACACGGAAGTCCGCAAATGTGCGAATATAAAACCAACTTTACCTAAGTCTGATGTTCCTGCTACTTCATGCTTTAGTAGAGCTGCAGTGCTTAATATTTTGTATATGTCTATTAGGCAGCATAAAGTTATGTCATCTTATATTTATGAACTATTATTTAGACTGACTTTTAAAATCTGATGTGCAATGGAGTAATGTCTGTGTGTATGTTTCCTCTACAGAATACTAGATGTGTTTGGAGTGTCCAGTCATCAGAAGCAGAGCTGTGGGACGTGTGGACAGACATTGACTGTAATGATGGACTTCTGCTGATGGACGGGTAAGACTTGTAACGTGTGAATGTTGTTGTTTGGCACTAAACATGTAGGTTGCCATCATTTTCTTTATGGAGGGTCACCCCTTTAAAAAGCAAATGATGAGAACTGAAATAGGTGGGGAAGGGACGGCGGGCCCAAATTTTGAGTCTGCTAAATTTTTCTTTTTGATTGGATCAAGAAGCATAACCCCTGCTGGACATTGTGGCGGGGTTCAGGGGGGGACCCGACGCGTCCCCATCCCCTTCACACATACAGCATTCACTCGTATCGCAGAGATCTGGCTGGGATCAAACCAGCATCCTCTGAAACCATGAGGCAGCGCTCTTATCTGTGAGCCACAGATCTCTTGCTGAGACATGTGCTGGAACTTATATTTCACTATTCACCTGGACAAGCCCTGTGATTTAAAAGCTGAACTGGGGTTTGAATCCTCACCTCATCACCAGAGAACGTGTGTTTAGCCACTGCACCACTGTGGCTTTCACACTCAAGGCTGGCGTTTCGGGCACTTTGTTGGTTATAATGACTTTAATTTAATGTAAACAATAGTGGGGTTTGAACCCATGCCTCTATCTCAGGCTTCATCACCAGAGAACGTGTGTTTAACCACTGCACCACTGTGGCTTTCACACTGAAAACTGGCGTTTGGGCCACTTTGACAATGACAGCAATTGAATGTAAGAAATAGTGGGATTTGAACTCAGGACAGGACTCCAAGACGAAAGTGCTACGCTTCATTTCCTGAACCACAGAGTCTGTGGAGTGAGTTCTGTGGAGTGAGTTCTGTGGAGTGAGTTCTGTGGAGTGAGTTCTGTGGAGTGAGTTCTGTGGAGTGAGTTCTGTGGAGTGAGTTCTGTGGAGTGAGTTCTGTGGAGTGAGTTCTGTGGAGTGAGTTCTGTGGAGTGAGTTCTGTGGAGTTCTGGAAGGGGTTTTATTAAAAGTTTGATCAAAACTTGATCTCTGGAAAACTTGAAAAATTTGACCTCGGGATTTCACATAGAATAAGCAGCTGATCGCCCACTGATCTTTCTTCTTATGTTTAGTTTGAGCACCTGTAATCTGTATTAGAGTGGATTTGTGTTCTTGACTTTGTCAGATTTTACTGGCTTAAGAACATGAATCACCTAACAATTTCTTGCACATTAACTGTGTTCATTTGTATGACAAGAATTCTGTGTCATTTTTAGATGATTTGAAAAAAATCTTTATGACACCGACTGAGTCACATGTACATCAAACGATTAAAAATTAGTCAGATTACTGAAATGAGGAATGAGTGACTGAAATATTACCAAATACTAAATGTACACACAGTCATAAGTGCTGTTATTAAGAACTTTATTCATTAATTACATGTCAAACTTAAACTTATAACACATGCATCACTTGTAAATAGCATATCTTGTTTATTCAAGTAGATCGTTTTATTTGAATAAGAAACACCTACCTGGAAGTTTCTAGTAATCCTCAAGACTTTGATTAGCTTCAGGTGTTTTTAATGAGGTTGGAGCTAAACTCAGGAATGTACTAGTGATGGACGTTTAGAAACACTGCTTAGTGAATCGAGAACTTTGCGAATCATTTGTTTTGAACCAGTGATTCAGAGCGAGTATCAAACTGCCAAAGTCACGTGACGTGAGTGATCTCTGCGAATCCATGTCTATATGGTTTTTACCTGATCTCGGTTCAGTTTTATAAATATGTAGATATTTAATGACACGTTTGCATTTGCACCAGCATACATGAGCCGTAACATTTTAGACACAATAAACAGTGATGGTGGTGACTCTCAATAGTACTAAAGCAGCTAAGTAAGAAATGCTCTCTAACATGTCATCACATGAAAGACAATTCAAAGAAACAACAGACAAAACATTTTTAAAGTACATCATGAACTGATCAGTAAAGGTGAACAGTAAGGCCATCTGTGATTTATTTATGCTCTAGTATTTAAAAATTTCCAAATGAAAACAGTGAATTACTTTTTTGGCTCTTTTAAGTGTTCTGTGTGTGCCTTTATTCACAGTGCTGGAAAATCAAATCGCAACAGTGACTCTTTCGTGGCTAGATGGTAACCCTCATTCTGTGAAACTGGTGTGACTGCAGCAGCAAATGTGTCTCACAAACAAGTGGATTGCTGAAGGGGTTTGTATTAAAGTCCCCATGTTCAACACATAATGGCGCTGTTTCCCGTGACCCAAGCTCCCTTTTTTTTTACTTTATTACATCTTTTCAAATAATAAACAGGCATTATCATATTATCATTGTTAAAAAACATCAACAATAAGATCAAGCAGCATATCGTAAAAAAGAGCGTAATGCAAATGTAAACTAATTATAACACAAATTAAAATACATTTCAGGGGGGTAAATCCGTGTATGTTGCCAGTAATTTGGAGTTTTAAGGCCCTCCTCGTTTTAAGTTTTTTTCAAATGCCTCAAAACATGTATGGTGCTTCTAAACAAACTTGAGATAAGTGAGAATTCAAAATATAATTCAATAAATACAATATATTTAGATTTGTTTTACATGTACACCCGCTTCAACGCAAAAATAATTAGAGGAATGCCTTAAATTAATTTATATTGAAAAAATATTTTTCCGTCAACAGTGGATTAATCAGTTTTGATGTAGATGCGTGTCGAATGTGCGAACGGTGAATGACTCTTAAAGGCTCGTGCACGTGTCTGTGTGACACGTCATTTAGTAGCTCGAGCACGGAAGTGTTTCCACGGATTTTCCGTCAGAAAGACAGCGTTGATATAGTTTTTCATCTAAAATGGGTAGGTCTACGTGATTTAAAACATATTCTGTTGGACATTATAGACAGCTAATGCATCTATCTTAAAGTGTAATTTACCGGCACACCTTTTTACGTGCTTACAAAGGGACATTTGTTCATCACGTTGGTGATGCTAGTTTGTTTGTTAGCATTGCGGATAACTAAACTCATGTTATTGGAAAAACTCATTATAAAACAGTTTTGTTTTCATAATTATGTGTTTTATTCGACTGTGTTTGGTATAAATCCTATATGCGTTTAGTATTATGGTCGTGTTGATTTAAAATGGTGTTGAATGTTGGAAATCTTTTTTTTTTTTTTTTTAAATCTCTAACTTATTTTCACAAAATTATTCAATTTTTTACAGGGGGGTTCTTTTCCAGCCTCTTCTCTGGTCTGTTTGGCACCAGAGAAATGAGAATCCTCATTTTGGGTCTGGATGGAGCTGGAAAAACCACCATATTGTACAGACTTCAAGTGGGAGAAGTGGTCACAACAATTCCTAGTATGTGTTTATGACAGATTTATATACACAACTTTTGACATGTCATGATGTACTGAGGACTAATGTGCAATTTTTTCAACTCAGCAATTGGATTTAACGTGGAGACTGTTACATACAAGAACTTGAAGTTTCAAGTATGGGACCTCGGTGGACAGACGAGTATCAGGCAAGAAGTTATTTCTTTCGCTATGTATTCTATTAAGATAGAGAAACCAAGCTGAAGATGTGATCACTGACGTTCTTCCTCCCTAGGCCGTACTGGCGGTGTTACTACTCCAACACAGATGCAGTGATTTACGTGGTGGACAGCAGTGACCGCGACCGGATGGGAATCTCCAAATCTGAGCTGGTGGCCATGTTGGAGGTTGGTCAGATGTGGTTTCCATTACATCACGTTCTATTGTTATCAGTGCATTTGAACATGATATTTCTTGTCTTTCAGGAGGAGGAGCTAAAGAAAGCCATCCTGGTGGTGTTTGCAAACAAGCAGGACATGGAACAGGCCATGACCCCTACTGAAGTGGCCAACTCTCTCGGTTTACCTGCGCTCAAAGACCGGAAGTGGCAGATCTTCAAGACATCTGCTACTAAAGGCACAGGCCTGGATGAGGCAATGGAATGGTAGGTTTGATTTCCTTTTTAAACATTTAAATACAAATATTTTGCATCGTGTTCACCAAATACCACCTTGTTCTTTCATATTTCAGGCTAGTGGAGTCACTGAAGAGCCGGCAGTAAATGCACTAAATATCTTGTATATAGGACCTTCAGAGACTTCTTATTGGGTGTCCTTTGGACCAGTGACTGCTTCTTCCTATTGTGTGAAGACCATCCTCTCTCCTGTCTAGTACAGAGAGACTGAAGTGAGGCGAGTGGTGTTGAATGGACTATGGACGAACTCTTCAAATGTTTTCCCCCCTTTTGCTTATCGTTTTTGGTGAACTGTATCCACTACATTTGAAATCTCAAAGGTGTTTGTTTTTTAAATTGAGCCTTTTCCCCCCTGATTTGGAATAATCGTTGCAGCTGGTATATGAGTTCAGTTTTAATATTACATGGGTAGATATTTAATTATGACTAACTGTCATTTGTACGCTTTGGATTTGTAATGGCATATTTATATTTGCACGTGTACAGGGGCTGTGAAATAAATAAGCAGTCAACACATTACATCAAGCATAACATCAAACAATGGCTGGGGTGTTTTTGCAAGTTTTTTTATTTAAAAACATTGCACAAATTCATATTGATATCGACTCTCAGTCCCCTTACCACTGAAAACAGGGTTCAGGTAACGTTCCCAGGGTCCCTTGCGGTCTCCCTCTCTGCTCTACTGTGTACATTTGAAGTATTAGTTTGCTAAAAAAAAAAACATTAACCAGCAGCAAAATGGATCAACTGAGCATGGCCAAGTTCCTCAATGAGCTGCTCTTGTGTTTCTTTGCTTTATGTCCTGTACGCACAAACTCCATTTTCCTCTTTTTGGCCTCGTTTTTCTTTAACTGCTTCTTAACCCTCTTTCTTGCAGCAATGTCAGGATTTACAACAGCCTGTTGGGGGGAAAAGATATGGGGAGAATACATAGTTTAAGAAATTGAATATGGTCACTACTTAACTTTTACTTCTGTTATAAAGCCAACCAAATTAACCAACAAATGTTTAAGGCCCTTTCACATCAAGAGTTATAACTATAATAATGTCCAACAGACAATACCGTTCTGTTTATTGTAAGCGCAAGCTCCAGTTTTGTTGTCTACCACTTTAAATGTGCAAGAACTTTAAAGCTTTCATCAGCTGATCATTCTGAAAGTGATTCCAACGATATTGTTATAGTTGTAATGTGGACTGCTATTGTTTTACATTTAGAGTGATTTTAAAACCAAATCACTATTTCTTGTCCTTGGTGTGAATGGGCCTTACAGGTGTCTGTAAATAGTAGAGGAGGAAATATTTAAATGAAGACGAACAGGGCAGACTTGAATGTTCAGGGAAGACTTGGGCAGTATTTAGAAGTTCTCTGGCTCTTACCTGCACAGCCTTGACTTTCTTGCGTGAAGCTCGTCTCTGGGCGGCTTCTTTCTGCACCGCTACAAAAGCCAGAGAGAACTGCTGCAGACCGACCATCTTCTTCAACAGCTCGATCAACTCCTGAGCCAGGTTCTTCAGCGTGGGGTCTGACAGAAGACAAAGACCCAAACTATTCATGAAAGGGCAGTTCCAGCCATATAGTCACTGGTAGAGGGAATGAAATTCTAATTTAGATTAATATCTATTTTACTTCCAATAATATCAGCAGTTTTGATGGGATTTAAAATGTTGAAAAAGCTTAAATTTGTTTTACAAAAATGAAAATATAATTTTTATTTAGTTTCAGGTTGTTTTTTAAAAAAGTTATTCCATTTATTCCCAATTATTATTTTATTTCAGCTAATGTTTCCTTTTAGTTTTTCATTAACACTACAACGGAAGCATGACTTTCATCGCCGTTTATTTATCTTAGTCAATGGTAATTTCAATATTTACTAATTTAAAAAAATTCTACGTTTTGGCACTGTGAACTAACTACCAAACAAGCAATTTGATTTTTTACAAACTAATATTAACATAGATAAATAAGTACTTAAAAAAACCTAGCCCATTGTTAGTGAATCCATTAAGTAATGTTAACAAGTGATCCTTATTATAAAATGCTATTATAATAATACATTTTATTTGTAATGTGCTTTTCTAATACTTGTTGCACTACACAACACTGACCTTGGTCTGCATATGTGCTGTCCAGCTCTCTGTAGAGAGGAGCGATGATAGTGGTCAGATACGGTCCAAGCCGATCTTTTCCGAGATCCACAGCTATGGCTCCCAAGAACTTAAAAACACAAGTTCTCTAAAAAACAGAAAAGTGACAGAGAATCACTGAGCTGGACATCCTGAAACCAGCAATCCATCAGTTTCATTCGGAGACATCAAGTCTAAACACAAAGACAGATTTAACACCCACCTTCAAAGGCTCTTTAGGCGTGTCTGCTGCTTCTCTTTTGGCCAGTAATGAAAGCTTATTCATCACCCAGAGGAGAGACGGTGGCTTGTCCTTCTGCTCCTTATCTTCCTCTTCTCCTTCATTCCCCTCCGTTTTCTCTGTCGTTTCATCCTCTTCTCCTTCCCCTTCATTCCCCTCCGTTTTCACTGTAATTTTTTCCTCCGCATCCTCTACCTCCTCCTGATCTTCAGTTGGATTCACGGTATCTGACTCTGGTGAGATGAGGTAGATCACCTTGGCCACATAAAGCAAGTTCTTCACCACCTGATCAAGGAACACACAACAACAGATCAGATCACCATTACAGATGCTTTGAAGTTACAAAAACTGCTGAAACCATTCAATCACACGCCCTCCCTTCGAAGACAAGCCAGACAATCCCAACACTGCGATTCAAGTGTTTTTTTTCTAACATAAATATTAATTCAGCATGAAAATAATGTCTGTATGGATTTTGGCCTGTGGTTGAATCTAACAATTAAAATCATATTAAAGAGTTACATTTACATTTTATATGGTTGCATTTTATAAATGTCTACATTTAATCATAAAAAAAAAAAAAAAACTAATCCAAAGGTTTAGATATTTCGTAACAAAAAATTTAAAACACCATAGAAAGTCAAGAAATAAACTATTTCTTGGTTCACTATCATGATCAACATTTTCTGTTGTTAAAAAATAAATAAATAAAAAATACTCAAGTGTTAAAGTTTTATTAATATATTAAATTGAAATTTGATTGAAAAAATAGATATTTTTCATGTTAATTTTAGTTAAATTCTTAGTAATGTCATTATTTGCTTTTGTTATTTTATTTAGGTTTTTTAACTAATATTTTTATTCTATTTTATTTCAATTAAGAGAAAGGTTTTTTATTAGTTTTATTTTTTAACGATAATAACCCTGATACTAATTATAACATCAACAAAAATAATATTTAAAATTAAATTATTATATAATATTAAATAGAAATATAATTAAAACACAATAAACAAACATATTTCATTATTTTCTACCTGCTCCCCAGCAGAAATATCCAAGAACTTGGACTGCAGTTGGTAACAGAAGGACAGAACCAGCTCTCTCATCTAATGGTTTAGAAATGGAAAAAAGAGGAATTCATTTATTAAAGTCTGTTTTTGTGAAACGAGGGGTTTAAATGCATGTTCTCAGACACTTGCCTTGTGATAAAGGTTGTCGGTGATAAAAACAGTGGCTACAGGGTGTATGGTTTTATTCTCCTGAGAACTCCATAAGGCCAACAGATCCTCGGGTTTATGAGCCGCAAACAGCAAACCAAAGATCTGAGAGGCGGTCAGCCAAACCCAGGCATGAGGGTAACGCAGATGGGAATCAATATGACCTGGATGGAGAGAGAGAGAGAGAGATCATGATGCATGCCTGACAATATCTCTGTTTCATAAGTGCATGTTTATTTAACTCTTTCCCCGCGTTGATGAGATTTCCTGTCAACCTCTATTGAGGAGTTTTTCCCGGCAATCCATGGTAGGGGGCGCTGTTACACTGTTCAGAAATAGTACAAGCATCTCCGTATCCAAACACGAGCAAAGAAAAAGATCTGCGTAAACCTGGGGCCTGTACCATGATGGTAGTTGAACAAACTCAGGGTTACAGGATTAGTTTAGAAAAATATAAAGAATTTAAACAAATTTGCACAGCAAGAAGAAAACAGCTGTCTATGAAAGAGGACAACTAAAAGAAAAAGTCGTGAAGTTAGTTTATACATTTGATAAAGGTAGAGAAAATGTAACGTAGTAATTTTATAGCTTTATATATTGATTCTAAAGCGTATTTATATTACCTTTATTTATTTATTCAATTAAACTGAGCGTAATAATAATTGATAAACTAAAATTGTACGCGTGATCGATTATGGAATTCCATAAATAACACAAAATTATTATTCTAAATAAGCATTAATAAAAGCCAGACGATTTTGTCTTTCAAAATCATTTTCTGTGTACTGTGTAGTGATATTTAATTTGGAGTGGAAACAGGTGGAGTGACTTTATCGAATCAGACATGTGTCACTTTGCTCACAGCTGATTGGTCCAAGTTCGGTTTGAGATCTCTTACCTGAAACATAACCTCCCCCGGACCAGGTTAGCCGTGGAGTGCAAGTTACTATGGCGATGAACACTTCTAAAAGCCAAACCACTTTCATGGTGCCTAAAACCCAGGGTTGGCGCAAACTAAACTGAAACATATCAGGCTAGCCACCCAAACCGGCTTCATGGTATAGGCCCCAGGAGTGGATAGTTGTTGTTTACAGTTACACACATGCAAGCTAACATGATCTTCATACATTTTAAATGTGTTCATACCCCAGATGCTGTTGAGCAGGTCTGCAGGTTTGTAGAGCTCCAGAAAGCTGCAGTCTTTGATGAGTTTGACGATGAGCGTGAGGTAACTGAACAGCAGTCTGTCCGCAGCCTTCTCCTCCTCCTCTTCCTCAATCTGATCAAGCATATCATTGGCACTGTCAGACTCAAAATCATGCAAAAGAACTCCATAGGATAAAACTCTGCACTCACGTCCTCGAAGTTGGAAGTGCGGATCTCTTTCTCGATGAGAGGAATCAGGACATGCATTCTCCGGCTGAACTTTGCTCCTTCAACTTCCACAAACAGCCCGCAGACCTGAGCTCCCAGTCTCCGCAGAGCCGTCTGCAAAAGCACAAACTGTTAAAACCCAAACACGTTTCAGCGGAACTTTTTTTTTTCAACATTGTTTTCCTACTCACCTTCTCGTCTGTAATCCAGCTGTCAGCCAGGTTAAACATGGAGTTTTGACGCTGCAAATCCAACCGACTCAGCAGAGACTTGATGGCCAGAGCCGCCATTTTCTTACAGGATGCAGAATCATCGTTCAACATGGCCAATGACAAAGGCACAAAGAACAAACCGCAGTGCTCTTGCAAGAGATCCTGTGAACAAAGAACAGATTACTCCTCCAATATCATGAACATCAAGAAAAGAATAATCTTTTTGCCAGTTTACTTGCATAATGCCAG